AAAGAGAGATATTGACAAAAGTTAGTCAGTTTTGTCTGTTCTTCTGTAAAACAAACTAAGATTTATTTTTAGAATTAATATTTTGTTTCTAAGTGGAATTGACAATTTAGTAGTCTGTTTTGTTTGTTCTATTTTGAAACTTAAACGCTTTAGCGGCTGCCTTTTGTGTAGTTTGCAATATTTGCCTTTATTTATCTGAAAAAGTCTCATGTTCCTTAAGTACATCTACCCTGTTGAACTTATTATGGGAAATAAATATTTAAATCAAAACAAGCTGCTGATTATTTCACATTTTACTTGTGAGCAACGGCACATTTAAATCTTACAAATATAGTTATTTGGCTTATATCGTGATAGATATCGTTATCGCCTGAAATGAAAAAAACATATCGTGATATGAAAAAATCTCATATCGCCCAGCTCTATGCTGAATGAATATATATGAAAAAGTGTCATGAGTTAAGAGCAAAACTAGAAAAGTGCTACATAAATGCCAGTCCATTTCACTTCACTCAGGAAAAATCACAATCTGTAAAACTCTTTTCTGGCCATTATCCAATGTCACATCTCAGGACTAGAATGAAGCCTGTGGCACGACTTGTGACACTGGAGGAGAAGAGAGCAGCGGCGGGGTGGAGCACCAGCTTTAAACTCATGCACAAGAGAAATGTCAAATAAAACAGGTTTGTGATGAGAGAATACTGAGAGAACACTGAGACAACACCCAGCCACAAAGCGAACTCACTTAGTTAAAGATAACAGGGGAGCACATGCACCTAACCAGCAGGACATTTCTTCCTTCTAAGTTAAATGAACAGATGGATGGAAGTTAAAAGTTCAGTTTTCTATTTTGATGAGCACCGTTTTTAAATAAAACTGTGGTTTTCATATTCTTTCTTTGAAAATCTATAAAGTTCCTGTTCATTTTCATTAAAATGACTTTTACATAATTGTTACAGTTTTATTTAAGATCTTCTAATGCTTACACTACACTGTACACGTCAACAAAAAGCTTAACATTGAAGGTCATTTTCTTCCCACTACTTACTATTTATGACGGCTTGGACCAATAATGTATTTCAATATGTTGCACACTGATCTCTTGCACAAAATCACTAACACACACCACAAATCCCACCAGTGATTCACTTCCTTATAAACCATTGAGTCAAGGACTAAAGCAGTGACGTACTGAATTAAACTTCAGACGTACCAAGCCCCGACACAGTATTTCTGCAGCACAGTGATGCGGTCTTCAGCTTCAAACGGACCATCATTAACTGCCGTTGCTCACAGAATTGTACAGTTTGAGACAATTACATCACGTCCAATCAAAATTACAGTCCTGCACTTTTAACACTGTCATCTTTGCACTGATATTACAGGAAAAGTCTTAGAAGTAATGCAAATATTAGTTAAACAGGAGCCAAAATGTAGTTTAATTGCATTCCGTTTTGTTTGCTAAGAAATCCACAATTTATTTTAATAAATCATTTTAAGCTCCTGTATAACTTAATTCCAGCAGGTAATGGTATGGGATGAGATTCACTTTTATTAGGTGAATCAATTTTGGTTCCTATATCATCATTATTTGATAATAAATAAAAACCGTTCAAGGGATTAAAGAAAAATATTTTTCCATGTTATTTATCATCAGTTTACTAGCGATTGAATTTTACAAAGGCCCAAATATTGTATGTTTATTATATTCAATTGTAGTTAAACCAAGTCTTCAGAGATTATTCTCACAGCAGAGCACTTTATGGTTTGATGATGAATCCAAAGAACAGAAGAAGTCTAAGTGGAGGCAAATTCTTGTATGT